ATACTAACAAGCAAGCTGAGAGCAAGCGATATAGGTTCACTCATGCCGACTATATAGTCACATAATAATCGTCATCATATCATATATACTTAATTAGTGGTTTCGTCTCCAGTGAAATCGTCGAAAGATTCATCTTGGACTCTACTCTGACTTACGGTCTCGCACTAGTATCTGGGGTTTCCGTGACAGCACTCGCCATTCTTACGTTCACGCGTGGCCGTCCGCGGTTCCTGCAACCTGCACAAATCTCGAATAGTCCAGTATCGCTGTCTCTGCGAGATTTGGAGGCTCTGATGCGTCTCATTTATCGACTCGTAGAAAATGTGATGCGATTATGAGAATTTAGGAGCTCACTATTGCACGCGGCCTCGAGCACTGCTTGGCGAGCCTTGCAGGCTCTTAAACAGAGGGCTGTTCCTATGAATCTCGAAGACGATCCTTCCTCGCTGTCTCGGTGTCTTCCTTGCTCGCTCAGGCATGTGTAGTTAAGAACTGTTCTTTTGGCTCCCATGTGCTGGATCATGCGTTCTGTACTGTTTCTCCTGTAGTTGGTTCATCTTTCCAACTATGGCAGGCGAATAACGCAGGTCTATGTACCATCAGTCTTGATAATGGTCGAGCTACACTTCTAGTCATCTGCGTGACTAGAACCACTGCGTCTACTTCATCGAACGACTATATTATCAGTCTTTAATAATGGTCGAGCTACATTTCTAGTCATTTGCGTGACTAGAACCACTGCGTCTACTTCATCTAATGACTATATTATCAGTCTTTGATAATGGTCGAGCTACACTTCTAGTCATCTGTGTGACTAGAACAACTGCGTCTACTTTACTCGGTAACTGCACCTTCGGCCCGTACGTCTTAGACGGAGACTCTTGGCCGTACCCCTAGCTCTGGTATGATGTCGAGCTCATGCTCGTTCCTCTTTCACGGCATGATTGAGTCTGCTGCCTCAGGTACCCTCGTGATAGAATCTCCTCGGTACCTAGGTACCGAGTAGTACCTATATAATACTTGAGTTATCGGTGCACTCTACACCACTTCGCTGAGATTATCTAAGTATCACAACCACTATCAATTTCATCACAGAGGTCATTGAGTTCACCTGAGTCACTCCAGTCAAAGTGTGAAGTTCACACTGTGAACTGATTACAGAACTCATTGAGTATTAAAATTGTTCCATCTTCGATACACCGTCCACGTAACATTAGAGTCGTACCCAGGTGTAGCTTGCGTGTCGCGTTGAGTTGTCTCAGCTTCAGTCTGGTGACTCGATAAATGTACTCGATCGCTTAGTACTCCGCGCCATGGAGCATCAACCTCCAGTCTGGAGGCTCCAGAAGCTCTGTTGATCGTGGTTCATGGATCTGTGCTCTATCACAAGTATTAGGTCACTTTAAATATACGATGTCGCCTTATTGGGTTGTTCTAGTGATAGGGTGATGAGGGTTTGTAGCTGCAATGACAGAAGTTGAGTCGGAAGTCTTCTAGACAATCATCGTGTCGTTCAGGGAGAAAGAGTAAACTCATAATACTGAGACAGCATTCGGCAGGTGCCTCTGTCACAGTGTTTGGATTTCGTTTTTATATCCTCAACCATGTCTTGTGGTCTGTATATTCCGGGACTGTGCAGTAATTGTGGAGGGCGGAAAGCTACGATGTTGCGAGGCCTCCTTGCACGACACAACCTACCGTGCAAACTGTACAACTATCCCAACTGGGACTGTTCAGAAGATCTGAGATATTCAAGTATGTATGCTGCAGCCAGAGATGCACTGTTGAATGTAGCAGCGCCAGAGAGGCCAGCGGTTGTACTGGCAGCCTCAATGGGGTGCCATTTTGCCCTCCGGTTGGCGCTTGGCTATCCGAATCTCATCAGAGCCATCGTCTCTGTTGGTGGCACTTTCAATCCTGGTGAAAACTGGCTGAAAGAAGACTCGAGTGACTGGGTCTATGTCGGTTCACCATACGCCGATAATGATGAGAGCTACAAGCTGCCCAAAATGTTCCTCAATGATCTTCAGGCGAACTACATCACAAACTTGAAGGACATTCGGCTGCCGGTCGAGATTGTCCATGGAACCAAGGATGAGTCTATTGGAGTGGAGATGGCGAAAACACTTGCAGAACTCCTACCTATGGGCACCTTGCATTTGGTTGAAGGTGGTGACCATCGACTGAGTACAGAAGATGACTTAAGGCGTATCGAATCTTTATTAGAGAAGCACCTCCTTTGCTGATGTAAATGTTGCTGACACTAGTAGAGGAGTTTTTGATGTGATTCACCTCTCGGCAATTAGATCCGGCCCGAGAAAGTTCTTGTACTATTCAAACCTGAACTCAAGGGAGAAGTTTCCGCTTTTAGCCAGTCCTTTTATCGGCAGCAATAGAGTTCGCCTCGAAAGGCCCTCGAACAATTAATCCTGACTGAGAGAATGGGTGTCTGTTTTTGGTTAATCCTTCGATCGGTATTGATGAGATTCGTACCGAAAATGCCCTCGTAGCTTTAGGCCTGTTGTGTTGGAGTTCTACCATCGACTCAATGCGCTAGTGGCTGAATCGAGATGTAGGCAATCCGCAGCAACTGAAAATGCGAGTCAACTATCCACTGACCACCTCCACCTCATCGCCCAGTCCGGGAGTCCTGTCTCAGAAGCAACGAAACTAGATTGGATCGTTGAGAGGAAGTTGTTCAAGCAGACGACGCTAGCAACTCGTCTGTCAGCGAGCACCGCTGCTGTTATTGCCTTGTTCTTTCTCTTCTGCGGTTGTGGATGCGGTAAGTCTAGTAGAAAGGGCCGATGAAGATTGTCATGATGTGCAGAACATACTAGCGGTGTCGGGGTTCTAGTCATGCTGCTGCCCCTTGGATGTTGGATCCCAGAGTAGCAGAGTAGCAACTCCATGTGGAACCTCTATTGTATACTGTACGGATGCGTCCTCGTAGTTGTCACGTTGGCAAACCTCAATGTTTTACGGGCGCCCGGTGTTTACGGGCTTGCCTGTTGCACTTTTGAACTATGGTGTTGTTTGAGTATGCACACATGGTCCATGTGACATGAAAATGGACCGTTTTTGAGGTCGACAACGAGTTGGAACAAGTAGGTACCGCGAAAACAGGCTTACACAACTCAATTGGAGCGTTACTCCTAAGCAGCTCTCTGCTGTGTTGGAGAGCGCAAAAACGCATTTATTCATCTACGTCGTTGCTTCAGCGTTCGACTATCCATGTTTGCACTGAAGTAAGAGTGTATGAACTTGATGATGCTTCAAAGTGTGGTTCCTCGTAGACATAACAGAGATGCCTTTTTGTGTTTTCACTTGGGTGTAAACATAACATGAGCTTGATCACAGAACAATCACAGTCAGGTTGTCCATGGCGTTTCCACATCGATTTTGACACTCAATTGAGAGGTATGAAATAACCATATGGCAACCCCGAGAGCTACAAGGCCAAGAAAACACAAAAGAAGACACAGGCCTGAGGGTTGAAATAGAATAACTGTCAGAGAGTGTAACCAACTTACGTTTAAATATCTTAGCACAAACACACAGCGCTAACCCGACAATGGCCACGATAAGTGCGGCTAGAAGGAGGGGATGATTCTTCATCCAAAGGCAACTGATAGAGGATCATCGGAGGAGCCTCATCGAGTCGTCTACTTTGCGCAGTTCCGAGACGGTGAGAAAAACCGTAGTGCGCAAGATTAGCATTTTGTCTTGGAGCTCGCCTGGACTTCTCCAGTGTACGAAAAGCTTTCCAAGGATCGAGTTTTACATGTGGAATCAAAGTCTGGGGCGCTCTTGAAGATGAGGAGAGGTCTATCGAGCTTCACGCTGAGCTATTGTCTCTGGTATGTGAAGCATCAGGTGATCGCCCACACTTCCCAGTTGACAGTGTCGATGAATTTCCTCACATAAGTTGCCGAGGGAGAAGTGTTGAGTTGTGCATTTGTCAATACTGTGTGTACCCTTTTCGAAGGTTAGACAAGAGCCTCAGGACAATGCCTGGGAGGCCAGTCAATCATTCGACATGGTTGTCGGCCGACAAGACGGAAAGGCTCACACGCGCTTTCAGAAGCGTCAGCTTCGCGGACGACGATGGTGAGTCGTTGCTAAAACGCTAGGGAGTCTAC